CTCCCAGTATTCCCTATCCAATTTGCCTGATAAAATCATGGATGTGGGTAGTTTATTTACAAACAAGCCCATCTCTTGTTTCTTATATATTCAATTTTGACTTCCACCCCCTTTATTTTTTTCTGAACAAAATTCAGACGTTCACAAACTGGAAAGCTCTGGAAAGCCACCGATTTGAAGGATGGACCCCATTCCACCTGTAAATGGAAATACTGGAGGAGCTACCTTAGCTCACATTTGCACAACACGCTAAACTGTAAACTCACCATGAAGTATGATATTCTGACAACGTATAGCTAGACAACCACATTTTAGCCTGGTGTGTTATTTTTGTGAACACAACCATTGTGGTCAGTTTCTGGATCGGTGTATTACAGTTATCTAGATTATTGTGCTTTTGCTGATTTAGAGACAGTATATAATAAGAGGCTTGAATTATGCAATAATTTGCACCAGTATGGAGTTGAAGGTTGGTTGCTGAGTGAGATAAGTAAATTCTGATGGAAATAAAGCATGTTTGGGAATAAATGAAATGTACATTTCCACTTCAACAGACAGGAGAACATCATATATCTTTGTCTTATTCCCACCGCTGTGTTGTTGGCTGAGATGAATTATTTGCAGTGAGTATCAGGTAGATTATATGGTGTAATGAGTATGAATCTGCAAATTAATATATCCAGCAAAAGGGGATGAATATTTTCACGTTATATATACATGGCAAAAAACTAGAGCAAGATGAATGTGGGTACCTTGGTAGAATATATAAAAAAGATGGTCAATGGATAGAGAAATGTTAAGGCCTTGAAATGCTGGTAGAAAGGAAGTGGGTACCATGTGGCCTGTTGCGAGGAATGAATCTTTGTCAAAAGAAATAAAAATGTCTAGTGTGTAATAGTGTGTTTCTGCCTGTTCTATGGATGTGCGTGTTGGGTGTGTGAAGAGGAACATCAAATTAAGTTGGATGAGGAAATGAGCTCAAGAAGAATGGGTGGGGATGAAACAAGAACAGAGAGTCAACAATGAGAGTCGTTCAACGAGATGGGTGGTGGCCAATTGGATAAATAAAAAAAATGAATAGGCAATGAATGGTGGTGGATTGAATCCAAATCTTAGCAATCAGTACACAGGAAGTACACTGAGGTGGCTTGATGACAGAGAATGAATGACGATGGTTCTTGAGGGTAGTCATGGCAGGATGGAGTTGATGAGATCCGAAAAAAGAGCCAATTTGTGTAAGCAAAGGCATCATATGAAGCTGTGTATGGATGCACTAGAAGCAAGGTTGGTTTGCAAGGATGGAGGAGTAAGGTCTAGTGGATGGTTTGGTATGAACTACATTTATCTGTGCCCTTTCCTTTTTCCCATCTCTCACCTCTACTTTCTGTTGCTATTTCTTACTCCTTTTCTGTGTTCCACATAATGCTACTTAACAACCCAAATAGAATTGCGAAACAGAATTGTAGGTAGCTGTAGCTGTGTATAAATCCAAGAGTTCTAGACCCCCTACTTCTGATACAGCTGCACCTTGTACATGATGTTTCAAGCCACATTTAAGGGAGGGAGGGAGGAGAATCAGGCTGAATTATTCCACTGTCAGAGGTTATGGATCATCTATCACTCTGGTCCAGTGAGGGTTGGTAGACAGATGGTTTTTAACTTCCCAATAGAGGACTGAATGCATTTGGCTCAAAGTCATTCCGCCGACTAAGGGAGGACCAGAACTCAGGTCTCTCCACTCCTAATCCAGCACTTTTGTCATGACACCACACGTATCTGCACAGACGGATGGATGGGGATGGAGAGAGAGAGAAAGAGAGACGGATTGATTGATTTTGTGGTGTTTTTTTCTTTCTAGCTTTATTGCTGCGTTGTAGGGGTTTTCCCCTCTTTTTTGTATATTATAGAAGTAATCTCTTTCAAAAAAGTTACAGGAAACCTGGGCTGCAGCTATGTAAAACAAGTTTTAAAAAAACAGAAATCACCGGACAGGTTTTTAGCAGTTTTATTTTATTATAGGTATACAACGACAACATATGCAAAGAAAAACTAGAAAATCATCCCAATAACTTAAAAACCTCTGGTGGTCACCATTAAGAGCACCATCTATGGTTGGAATAGTAAAATATCTCATGCGTCCATAAAGGAATGTATCATATTTCCAAGTATATCACCAAAAGAGAACTTCAAAAAATAGCCCCCAGGAATTGGGAGCCCAAGAACTGATGGAGAAAAACTTTTTTTAGCTAAAATACTGGCCCTTCATCTTAACAAACAAACAAACAAAAACCAAATGCAAATACAGCCAGAATAAGTACTGCATAGTATTTTAATTAAAATACAGATTCCAGCATAAAGCTGTTGTGAAGGCTCAACATCTTTTCAGCATACATTTCATTCTGAATAGAGAAATCTAAAAGTTAATAAAGGAAGAAAATAGACCTACTATTATATTCTCTAATAGGGCACGTTCCAGGCAAAACGTATTAAGTACTACGAAAATACATATCTTCCATTCTGTTTAATAATTTACTTCTGTTAAAAAGTTGTGAGGTCATCACAGGAAGTTTATACAAATTCATTACTAAATTAACCCCCAACCATTAAAAAAAAAAATCAGCATCCGAACCCAAGTTTTATATTGTTTTGTTTTTTTAGCCCTGTTATAACAATAACGCAAGAAATCAGGGAAGGAGACTACAAGTTGTATTGAAGGAATATAAATTTACACACATTTTTACAGCCAACTCTTTATCATCCTAAGAATGTCTACAAAATTCACAGTTATATTACAAGTGAGTACAAGGTTGGGATAAAGCTGTCTGAATACCTCCCCCCCAAAAAATGTCTCCCATATTTAAAAAATAATAATAATTAAAAAAAAATGTGAGCAGAGAACAAAATTGCCACTTCAAATGATCTGCAGCCAGATTTGTAGCATTTGAGCTGGGCTGGAATTCTGGCTGAGACAAGAGGGGCTTTAGCAAACACAAAGGGCTTTCCTAGGCTGATGGAATAACTGGCTCCCTATTTTTTTCTGTCCTCGCACACTACGGCGCATGGCGAGCCTGTTGGTGTTCTTATGCTGGGAGGTCGAAGAGAGGCTTTCGGGCTGGCCTCCAACGTTCCGGGTCAGGCCCCGTCTAGGTTTCTTCACCACTGGCCCCGAGTTGGATTCTTCCAATGTCCTTTTGAAGCTGGCTGCCGCTGGAGTCCTCTCTGACTCCTGTACTTTGGATGGATCGCTTGGGGAGATCTTGAAGGCTTTGGGTTCTGGACCCACATTCCTGGCGTTGGAGGGAGACAGAGTCCCGGCTGGGTTTCGACTGTACGATTCGTGTACCCGCAATCCTAGAGCTTTGCTGCCCTTCTCATCCAGTGGCACCAACTCTCTCGAGCAAGCCGCTCCTAAGGGCACACCATCATTGTCCTTTATCACCTCACTGGGTGGCTCAGGAGGTTTACCTGATCCAGCATTGCTACAGGTGAATAAAGCGAGACCTTCAGGAGAGCTCAACCGTGGCCACAAGTCATCTTCTAAAACCTGATGGAATTTAAAAAATGAAAAACACTGATTTTCAATTTCACATTTTCCTTTTTTCCCCTAAGGAACAAAGCTAATCACAGTAATAAGTCTTGTTCCCACCCACGTCCCCATAATTCTGAAACAAACTTTATAATAGTCAGTGGCCAGTGAAGTTCCCAGAATTCTTCAGCCAGCCTGGCCAGGAATTCTGGGTGATGCCACTCCCAAACATTTGGAAGATACCAAGTTGTAAAGGGCTACAACTGATCAATAGAGATCAATTTGGTCAGGTAGGTGAGTTCATATATACCAACAGTTTTCAATTCTCCAAATGCGAATCCTTATGCAGTCAAAATGGCACTATCCACATATAAGGAGGAGGATTTAGAGAGCTTGAAAAACTCAGACTTTACAGAAAAGTCAGAGTGGAATGGAATCTCCTGAAAGCTGCCAGAGGTCAAATTTGGAATACGAAGAGTCTGCACTACAACACTGTTCAAAAGATCTTACTGGGGTTGTTCACGTGACATGCTTTTTTCATTATTTACTCAACCGTGATTTGCTGATTAACTCAATCTTCTGGATTTGCCTGGCACAGTGGGCCATAACTAGCCAACTGAGCAGAGTTCATACAAGGCTAAAATATGGTTGGCTAGTTTATGGCTAGCGTGCTGAGTAGACACATCTATGTGGTCAGTTTAGGATTTGGTGTGTTCTGCCAGTGTGGGAAATTAGGTTAGTTTGGTAAACCAAAGTTTAGGTTAGCCTAAACCCTGGTTATGATCTTCAAATCTGTCAAAACTACCTTTAATGTTAACTTGCCCAGGTATTTCCCCCAAATTCCCATGTGAAACTAAATATATTTTGCTAATATATTTAATGTCTTCCCAAACCCTGATTATGATCTTCAAATCTGTCAAAACTACCTATAATGTTAACCTGCCCAGGTATTTCCCTCAAATTCCCATGTGAAACAGAGGACTTTCCCAGATTCTGGGCTTCCTGCCTAGAGAATTCGACCTCACTCCTTCCATGACAGTCTTTCTCTTCTGAAAAACCCAAATCTCAGCTGACAGATCTGGATTATCATAATAGGCCACCAAGCCTGGTTCAGAATCAGCAATAGCAGCCCATCTCTAGTTAATGGGGCGATTTGGCTTAACAGTGAGATGCTCCTGATTATCCACATGATGAGAATTATTCAGGTCAGTTGCATGTTGTGTGAACTCCATCAGTGTGAATGGATCTGTGTGTCTTATGAATCCAGAAACCTGGATTAACTAAGTAAAGCACAGTTCACCCTTAGCAAGTATGTAATGCAAACAGAACCACTTAATTCTGAAGCTTTGGAGAAAAGGAGATGCTTGGGGGCCTGGGCACAAGCATCCAATGGAAGCCATCATCATTATGTTATCACATAAGTAAGGAATTCTGGGAGTAGAAGTCCACACATCTTAAAGTTGGCAAGTTTGAAAACCACTGCTCTAGATTAAGCATTAGCAAGAACATCTGGTAAGAAAAGTTCAGTAGCTAAGTTATGGGCCAGTGGGCAAGAACCCCACACTCGCTCTGTTTGTCAATAAACCTGGAATACAGAAATCTCCTGGATTGTAGCAAAGTGTTGGTTCACACAGGTTCCTTTGCCTCCCCGCCCACCCGGGTACATTAAGGAGTGGGCAATCTTTTGATGGCTCAACATTTCTGGGGAATCTGAGGGCCAAAAGTAAGTGGGACCACATTGTACATGTAAGCATGGCTGAGTTGAGGGGGGATTCTGCTGCTTGTTGTTGCTTTCAACTGTGAACTGCCTGGTGGTCTCTGTTACAGATTTCATCAGTTTCCCAGTCAAAACAGTAGAAAACCATATCCTGGATTTTCAGCAATAATGGGCCGTGAGGCCCTTAAAGCCACAAAAAGTTTGGTTCTGGGGCTGTCAGTTGCCCAGCTTTGCACGGAAAGATTGTGGTCCAAAAAATCATCCCAATCTAGGCAGTTTCCAATTCTTGAACTTCCACCAACCTTTCAGTGTCCCCACAACCCAGAAACCTCCCACCTGAAACAGAGGATGATAAAACACTTCTCCTTCCTTAAAGTATTTTCCCATACAGATTATTCAGAAGAGTGAGGCTGTGTTCACACAGCATGCTAAGCCACAAACTATGGTTTATAGACTACAATTTATTGACTATGTGTCATCAAGATGTCAACCCTTAGTAACTAGATAGATAGATAGATAGATAGATAGATAGATAGATAGATAGATAGATAGATAACCCACAATGGTTAACCTCAAATAAAAAAAACCTACATAATATTTGATCATAATGTGTGAATCTGGTCATCACAAAAGCCATAATATGCTGTGTTTATTTGGCTTGCATGCTGTGTGACTACAGCCATTCCAATTTCTTACTCATGGTTCATGCGTTAACTTGTGCAAACCCAGTTTGAATGGGTTTGGCAGGTCACATATGCATGGCTTACAGGATAAATCACAATTGTCTCCACTCACACAATACATTAATCTACAAGCAAGCAAACCACATTATGGCTTAATGTGTTGTATGAACAAACTCCGAGACCCTATAGAAATGAGTATTATAACAACCTTAATGTTTGCCAAAGATTTTGCAACTGTTTTAGCAGTTACATTGAGGTAGAGCTCCCACATCTGGGGTGCAAAAATCAAGATGACTATTAGATGGCACCACACAGATGGATAATTAATCCTCTGACACCACCTTGTGGTCAATTGGATGCCTGGAAGCCAGATATGGTAGCCTTATGTGGAGGGTCTCCTTTGGGGGATGGAGAGAGAGGGCATAAATGTTTTGAGATTTCCATTTTGTGGCAGCCTCCAGGTGTGTTGGGACTGCAATTCCAAGACTCCTCAGCCAGCACATGTTCACTAGGAATTCTAACCACAGCAGTCCAGCAAACAGAGAATGCCACTTTAGGGAAATGTCATTTTGAGGGACACGCCAACAACATGCTCTTACACAGTCTTCTCCAACCTGGTTGTCCTTTCCTTGTCCTGGACTACAAATCATAAAATTCTTATGCAACCCAACTACTGTCAGATCCTAAATCTGGGGTGGAGCAAAATGGCCCATTCTGGATTCACTGAACAATGTCCTCTTTCCATGGATGGTAATGACAACTAGTCTCTTACAGCCATTTACCTTGTACGTCAAAGATGTGCCTTAAAGGATCTCATTCAGACAGATGTTAAGCTTGGTCTCTGCCTTAAGCTACTGCAAGTTGGGACCTCCTCCTCTGTAAGCCCAACCACATGCTGTTCTTAGCCCAGGTGATAAAATGATTGGTTTAAACCCTGATTTGATGAATAAACCACAATGAGTTGGGTTTATACCGCAGGCTAAGCTAGTCACGCAAGACATGTGATGGCTTTGTGCCAATTGCTTGGCCTTTCTAGGTAAGGAAGAGGAAGATGAGGAGGACGAAGTGAGGAAGAAAGGGGAGGCCATTTGGGGCCCACTTTAGCTTCAATTAGAGAGAAAGACTGGATTCATGCTAAGGCATGGCTCACATACCCAAGGTTTACTGAACAAATCACAGCTGGTTAATTCAATATTATATAATTAGACCAAAATTCTAGGATAAGCAATCTTTTGGTGGCCAAGGGCTACAAATGGGTGAGGCTTTTGGCAGAATTTGGGAAGAGGTTCCTTTGTTTTTTTAATTAAGATAATGTTGATATTACGGGCTCCACAATAGCTTCCATCCGTTCCTCACCTCTGAATGGCAAGAAACTGTTCATTATGATCAGAGGTCTTCTGAGGGCCACATGTGGTCCTGGGGCTATGGATTATCTACTCTTGCCCTACGCCACAGTTTGCAAGCCACAATGGCTGAGCTCACACAATACAGAGTCAAACCAAATAAACCTTGTACGTCAAATTCCCTCTTTGCATTGACTCTCCTTTCCATAATCAGTCAATACCAACCGGGTTAAGATAAGTAGTGTTATAATTAATGGAGGGAATCCAGGATTTGGTACGGGCACAATCAGGGCCCAGAAAATACCAAGTCCCAGGGTTCTCACAGCCTGCTAAACCAGGCAAAAAAGAGATGGGAAGGTTTGTGTTTCGATGTGTGATGGAAACCCTGTGCCATCTTAGCTGGTTGTATGAACTAAGGCATTACATCAAGTTGTAATAACGTTTATTTGTTGGGGACCCTGCACATTAGCTGAACACAGCAATTAAATTTTGTTAATTCAGGCTTCGTTTGTTGTATGAACTGTTAGGCCTTCAGCTGAATTGGGGAACAGGGCTGTATAATGGTTCAGTTCCAGAAGGTTATTTCAGAGCATGTGAGAGCGTAAAGACAGCCCTTGTTGGTGACTGACTATGAAGTAACCGCATATTTCTCCAAAATTTTGCAGCTGCTGAGACTACACACAACTGCTTTTATGAACTGCCAACAAGTTTTTTGAATTCACATTCCCTCTGCTGTGAAACATCTTTCTAGAAATTGAACGCCAAACATTGCACAGCCCAAACGGCTGAACCACGTTGTGCAACCACAGCCACCGTGGCTCAACGTGACACGTGAAGCTGGCACGTTGCTACCAGTCCGTAGGGCTACCTTCTCTTTAGCTTCTGATCCAAAATGGCTCCAGGGGTCCTTTCCCTTACAACTCCCCCCCGCAAAACCTTCCACAGTCCTTTGTTTATCACCCAACCACATCCATTCTCTAAATCCCCAGACTCGGACACAAGTAAGCCACCTGGCTGATGCATGGCGTTTCAGCAAGGAAGCTCAGTAGACTCAGCTGCCCATCTTCAACACCAGCATCACCCATGCTGGGAGCAGGGTCCTTGTGGACATTGGCTGGGGAAAGTGGCCAAATTCTACACTACGCATCCCATTTCTCCTTTCGCAAAAGAACACCATCTCTGCCACACACCCCCCCCCAAAAAAACTCACAGAAAGGTACTCCAACTGAGGTACTATTCCATTTATTCTCCTCTGTGCCAACGTCATCTGTTTTG